TGATTGTGTTAAGCTAGCACTAAGTCCCTTCCCCGTCCACCTTTACTCTTTTCTTTACAGTAAGGCTTTCAAATAAGTCATGGTTGTACAGCAGTGAAGCATCGGTGTTGAACACTGATGTCATGCTGTCGATGATGATGATGAGTACATAGTAGCACCGCATTTCGTTCACAGTAGTCAGGACGGCTGTCACCTGGATGTTCGTTCCATAACTCTACTCGACCCTGCTGTACCGCCAATTATCTACTTGTTGAACCATAGGTTCTTCGCTATTCGCTATCCTTGTTAATCCAATCACATGAAGTGCAAAGATGATCGCTCTAAATATCGACCTCGATGTAAACTTGACAGACTACTCCTGAGGCCGCTTAAAAAGCCTGCGACAGGTTTCGCCCTTCTTGGGGCTCATCAAGTAGGTGCAGTCCTTGAGTTTTGGTCAACTTTATATTCAGTACATTATAAACAGGGAAACTCAGTAGTATCTCCCGTCAAAACCATACTAATGAACAAATGAGAGTACCTGACGAGCATAGAGGTGCCTTTCCATACAGACTGAAGGTATCACCACTATTGGTGGTGAAGTACGTGTACCACCGTTTTAGTAAGGAATGCCATTTTTCCATTGTCGACAGACGCTTCATCGTTTCCAATACAGAAAGGGCTTATCTTTTTTCGGGATTACGATCGCAGCGGTTGAAGAAGTCTTTTGAGGTGGGGATCAATATTCGTGTATCTTTCTACTGTCTTCTTACATTCACTTGAGTGCTCTGCATTTAATGCATGAAACAGTAGACAGGCAACTGATCCCCCTGTTGCGCCCCTGGTGAACACATCCCCAAACCCGTAAACCTCAAATCTTAGTCGTATGTCGTGAATTGGTGTTCATCAACCTTCTTGTTCACTCCCATACAGCAACTGACCACACTGCTCCTCACTCGTCAGATTCTGGGCAATATTCGAGAGGTATTTTTACCTTATGGTCAGTCCCGCCTGCGTCAGTTCTTTCTGTCTTTTCGATATGAGACCAAGAAACGCACAGGTCAATCCGAATTGGCGGACATTCAGTATACTGGTCCCACCATAGAAACACTACAAGGACGCACCGAATCAAACCTTGATGACAGTACCTTGCGCCGCCGGAAATCCCCAGAGGCTTCAACACACTCCGTCAATCGTGGTAAGTGACTACATTTCTTACCACGTCTCTTGTGTGCGTCATGTTAATCCAGCTTGCTCATAATATAGATAGGATCAACTTCTCCACACTCTTACTAGTGTATTTTAGCTGTGCTGTAATGCTGAACGTTTCATACACAGACGTTGTTCCACCACCAAGCAGTCTTGAATTTTCATTCAGTCTTCCGGCACTTCACTCGTTTGTGGTTCTTCTGAAATGTGACTGAAGCACCTTGCGTTTGAATATGTGGTTCAAGACCATTCAACACCATTATTCAAAAAAGCATTCCTCATTTACTGTTATTTCCTGAGAGGAAGGTCACCCTTCAAGAGTGACCAGATTCCCTATTTATTCATCATCATCGACAGCATGACATCAGCGTTGAACACTGATGCTTCGCTACTATCTGTGATTTATTTTAAAGCCTTATTGTGAAGAAACGAATAAAAGTGAGTGGGGAAGGGACTTAATGCTAGTTTACTACAATCATTCCGAGGTGCTTACATCTTCAGACACTCATTCAGGCAATCTGGACAGAATTTGACTACAAGAACGCTACTGACAACGATTAGCAGCTATATCTTGCAGGCCCTCTGACTAGACGCTGTGGGGATCACGCGGTCCCCATCCTGGAAGGCAAGAAGCACCAACAACACCCAAACGTTTTGTATTCTCCTTCATACTCATCTGCCAGGTCAAGACATTGCGCTTATCGTCCCCGCTTTCACTGACTATGTTGATATGGCAGTTAACCTAGTTGGGAGATTTCTGTCTTTGTATTAGGAAAGACCTGCCTCTGGGTACACAGATGTATCCAGTGTGGCGACACCTTTATTCAGAATCGAATCTACGAAATACATAAATTGAGACCCAATGCATCGAAGGGTCCAACTTAAAGTTTAGACGTTAGATTGCAGGTTGCTTGGTGTGCAGTGCGTGGACGAGCGGCTGTTTAGTTAAACACAAGCAGTTGCTGATAGAATTGGAACGCCTAAAACCTGTTTAATGTCTTTAGAACACTCCCTCTTCATGAGAACCATCATTCGAGAGCCCTCTGGTTTCCTACTTCGAAGCGCTGCTTAGTCGGAGGTATGGAACCGAAAACAAGGCAAAACTACGGGGATAAGATGAATAAATTTTCTAATCAATACGAATAGTGAATGTTTTGTCAGTAGAGTTCGTCTCAGTACAGCCACTATAATAGAGAATGATCGACTAGTTTCACTGACAGATGGCAGTTGTCATACACTAAAGGCAAACGTTCTTTAGCGGTCTTTAAACCAATAGTTACCCTGGGGAAGAACCAGGTAAATTCCCACGAACTATGGGAGCTGCTTCATCAAACATGAATTTCTTGTAGCAACAAGGGTGCATTTTACATATCCTAACTTATCAACAACGCGAAATTCGACATCTGCATCTGCTTCATTCAGCCTTTCACCCTCTCACCTCCGAGACTTTCCAAACCAAAGGTACCCACCCGAACAGACCAGCTTTTCGGTTAAACATTAAGACTCTACGGTCACTTGATTGCCCTCTTGATGGATTTTAACAAACCAACTTTAGATCGTTTCCCGTAGTCCCCTAGCGAGACATTTTCTCTCATGAGGCACATTCATCGGGCACATTCCAATCCTTTCATAGTATTGTAGTTCACAGTAAGTCAGAAGAACGCATAAGTGCGGACACGGGTGTATTGGGTACACGCGGCCAAACTGGTCCGCTTTCGCGGCAGGCAAGCAAAACAACTGAGTCACATATCCAGTCAACCCACAGCGCTCACGCGAGCCAACCAATCGGACACATCCAATCAGCCACTCAAGTCACATGCCAGATCGATGGTGGAACGACGAACAGACACGCACACGCGCAAACTCTCTGACACACCGAATCAGCCACTACACATAGGGTGTGTGGTGCCTCGTAATCGTGCATGCAATCTCTCAGCTCCTCTACCCTGCGCGTAACTTTATATTTTGGAAATGGAAGAACAATCCAGCGGAGCCACAGCTGGAATTAGTAATACGTGCTGATGAGATGATAGGAGTTTCTGCTCAATTGCAAATTGACAATCGTTTACTGTGTCTTGTTGAATGAGAGGTCATCCGAACCAAGAGCTCCGTAGCGCGTAGCAGAAAACGTTCAGTCATAACTCTCCTAGGCCGTGGGTGTCCCGGGTCTTAGTTCAGTTCCACGATCCCATTGAGTGGAAGTAGGTTGTCAAGAGAATCGCCGTTCAAAGTGCCCGATCCGGCAGTCTAGGTATCCGTTTTCATTAACGATGATCGCACTAGTTTGGTTCTTGATAGTTCCACCCAGAGGCGGTTTTCAGGAACCCGTAGAAGTAATCTTCGGGTCTCCCCGTCTCCTTCCTCGCTTGGATTTCCTTGTCCACCACACCTCGCGAGTATCCGATAGTTCGCCTGGTTGAGTTATTTTCTTGACCAATTGGAACACTTCTCCGGTATTCAATTAGCGCCACTGTCATAGGCAATACCGTGCCGTGGACAAAACTCCGGGCATTGTGCAAATGTATGCTGACCTCATTTCAGTGCGAGCTGAAATTTGACGGTGGAGCAGTCGGAAGAGAATACAGGTGGTGATTCTAATGAATTAGTTCGATTGCGAAATCTCATCATCATCACTAACATCACTGACAGATGAGAACACTGGTGCTTAACTGCCAGGCTCTGCCAACTTCTCAGTTGCCCATTCTGTACACAACCCTGGAAAATGAAGAGGGGAGCCACTCTGTGCGCGTGCATCGCCAGGTTTCTAAAGTGGCAGTAAGCTAATTGAGACATGTCATCGGCAACTAGTGGTCGTGGCTGACACGACGTTATGAGAAGCTATTACTGTATGAAAATAATCTGCGGTTGAAATATAGCTGAAGCAGTCTGTCTGTTTGCCCAGAGTCTAACCCAACTCGACCATCCAAGCGAGTATCAGATGCCTTCATCCTCTCCGCATGTGTATCTAGGTCTCCGGCAACCACAGTTGTATCTGCGCTTTAGTCCGCCGCAAGAGCACTCAGTTGTCTTTGATGGCGACATAGCTATGGTGAGCTGGGGCGTCGGCAGACAACGACTAGCTTCCAGCTTGTGAAATTTTCACACGGATGTTGTCAGACTAACTGTACGGGTATCCAGTCAAGTAAGGATCCTTCCGCCCGGTAACTTAGGACGATTCTGCCTCCGTGCACATCCAGCCGCAGCGGCCTCTGTAGCCACAGAGGTTTGTAACCGGAAGCGAGTGGAATGATGAGACAGTCAGGTCAATGACTGTGCTTTTCTCTTGAATTCTCATTTCTGATGCACAACACAATTTCAAGCGAATCCAGTGTGTGAGAAACCACAGGCTGTTGTTTCGCTTGCTTCAGAAGGCGAACATAAAAGGGCGTCAGATAGACCGGCTGTCGATGCTTGATTGATTTCGAACCGCCTGCGGCTGTTGACGCCGGCACACCCGCAGATATCGCGGCCAAGACCGATACAAGACGAACAGACTCGTCAGTCCTAAGGGATCGACTTACAAGGAAAGCCTAATTATTTAAGGGTTTGGGGGAACTGTGAAGAAAAAGTATGTGAAAGAGCAAAGAGGCGTCAGCACTAGCTTATTTTCGTTTAGCCGCCCTGCTGTGTGCAGAAGCAAGGCGACCCTGTTGGTGGCACCACGCGATGGCCGATGTAGCACGAAAATTTTGTTACTTGTGTTTATAATGTTTTTACGTGGTTTTGATACTGTCAGAGCGCTCACATCTTGACAAGTAAAGGATTGGGGTCCCCAGCCAGAGCCTTTGATTGGAAACCCTAACCAAAAGACAGGGATACTTGAAATATTAATGCATACCCTTCTTAAGGAACACGTAACCATACGCGTTACAACCCCTAACCTGGAGATTCGGAGACTGTGTTGGACAAACCTCTTACTCTTGACCAGGCTGTTTTGAGACGTGAGTGTTGCATGGTGTAGTCATTATGGATCAGTGGATCATGGAGGCACACAAACTGTCACAGAATGCCAACGTTGAGTCTATTCGTGACGCAGGTTACTGCGAAGTATTCGGTCGACCACGACTGGTTTCGTCCTTCTTGTGGATCCTCGGGCAGGTACAGCCGCCGAATTTACTTTAACCTCCTGTTCTACTTAAACCTGAACTGCACGGATGTGGTGAGTAATGTTCCTTCAAGAAACTATAATGCGCGTCTCAAATATCCTACCAACTGAACCATAAGAAGATCGCCGTACGACACATTCAGTTGAAGAATGTCACAAATGAGAAATTCAGGTGAGATTCATCTGGGTCCCCGGTTATCACCAAAGTAATTTGCGAATGAGAGAATAACTCATCTTAACTGTAGAAAATTGAGACTCTAGAAGTTGAGGGTTCTTATGATGACCGCAGCACAGTAGAGTGTACCGGTACAAGCCATGTAGAAAGGATACGTTGGTTACAGCCGCTACGATTTCGGCCACCGAAGAATGGGAGAGTGGGACTATATAGCCAGGCATCAGATGCACTGATATGATAAGTCGGTTGATTAAGGGATCTATAAGGATGGAGTGTGGTGCTGAAAAATAACTCGAACCCATGACTCTCGAGATAACAGATCGCGATCTGAGTTGCTTGGTTTACACTTGTAACGGTGTATGCACACAGGTAGTCTGGTTCGGTGTCCAGGCTCCGCCCCCGCATCTGACGGAAAGTGAAGGTTACTATTGGAATTCTGAAACTGCATTGCAGTGTTTTTTATAATTGTTTATTATTCAAGGTACATTCAGGAACGTTCAAGAGGACGATTTAGAAGGTTCACTTTTCCAAAATGCTGTGCAAATGAGACGTTTACTTTCGTAATCGGTTGGTTCATGTTTGATAGATAGTTTCCTCGCAGTGAACGGCTTTCCTCCTCGCACTAAAATCACGTTGCATCGGCTAGGTTGCCCCCTGAAGGCACTCAACAATCAATTCGGTTATAGATTAATGTTATGCCCCCTGTTTTGATTGGTCCGCGTGGAGCAATGTTTACACACGGGGCAGACACAAATGGCTATCTTAGCTTTCACGTAGTAATGGAGCAACCGCATGTGTGTGACTAAAATCTTTTGCGGATTATAAAGTTTGTCCCGAACTCGATGAAAGGAGTGTCGAATTACAGCCAGTAAGCCAACTGTGGAACAATGCTGGATCAGTCACATATCTGACCTTAAAGCTTTGTAACTGCATAGACACCACCGTTTCCGGGTTCTCAGCCATAACGTTTTGTTTTCGCAGATGAACCACTGATACCTTCTCAAGAGCGTGAGGCTACTCTCCTACCGGTGAGTTACAACCTTTTTCGCAAAGTTCATACCATCCTTACCTGTTAGTCAATCTCTCATTCATCACTTTCCAACCCATCCTCTCCACACCTCACTAGTACGATGGCCCGGATGACGATTTCTTGGAAATGTTCATCCAGTTCGGTTACGTCAGCATGTTCTCCTGTGTATTCCCTGTTGCCGGTGCGTTGGCCTTTCTGAACAACGTGGTCGAAATGCGAGGGGATGCGTTCAAGTTGACCCACGGTTATCAGCGTCCATTTCCACAAAATGCCACCAGTATTGGCATTTGGCAGGTCAGTCTTGGTCTGCGTGACCATCAGTGCCACTGATATTTTGTGCATTTTGCGAAAATTTCCGGTTTTAAACTCGTTCAATATGAAATCACGCGGAAGGTTGTTTTCGTGATCAGTACTAGTTTCACTCGTCTTTCCTCACATTATGGGTTTTTAAGACATATTTGACATATTTGGGCCGGGAGTATTCGTTTGGAGGTTGTTGGACGGAACTTAAACTTTATGCGGATCATTCAGCCGAGGGATATCCGTAGAGGTAAGTGGATGGTGACGTTGTTTGCAGTTAGGTAGGATGAGCAGGCAACTTTCAATGAGAAATACCGCTAACAGTTGATTACTTCTTAAGGAATGAATGTTGAGCAAAATTAATGCTGAATGTTGTTGACAGTTCACACTGAGAACGGCGTATCACTGGTCTGCTCCGATACTAGAAGATAAAAATTAGGATTATACTGTTTCTTACAAAGACCTTACATATATAGATGAACTATAATTTCATCTGTTTGATGGAGAAATACTCTCGCATTCGAGCTTCACTTACAATGTTTAACGATTGACATGTTTGGGAGAACAAAACAGTGATACCATAGCCCAAAAGAGGGCAACGCCAACAGCCACGGTCATGCTTGTCGATCGTGAGCGAAGGAATTTCACGGATATGGTCATTTATAAAACCCATCATCTCCAAAGTAAAACACCAGTGAATAACGCGTCATCTGAATATAGCCATCATTCTGCGTTCCTCACAGGTGATCCCTGTAATGGTGGGTCAACAGTCGGTTGAGTTTGTTTACAGAATAGTAGGTACCTTATAGCTAACATTCAGTCAGATATCAGTTGGAGTCGATTTTTCATGACACGACGCTGTCNAATCGATTTTTCATGACACGCCGCTGTCTATAAGAAATCTGTCTGTCTTTATTTTTTCAGATAGCCCTCGCTTCCATGGGCTACGCAGCAGTACTGGTCAATATTGGTTTATTGTTCGTATCTGGTGCAGTTCAGGAGCTGGTACCAAAACTGACAGATACACAGACTGTCCTGCTTTTAGTGACAGCAGAAGTAAGTAAAAAAACACTGATATCATGCTTAGAGTGTGGTTCCGGCGACTGAGGGCACCTAAACCCTTTCTCTGTAGCTCTCTCCTTGTCTAAATGCGTTTCCTAAAATGCAGTCCAACCAAACGGTGAACTGGAAATAGCGTAAGGTAGCTTCACTCAACCGTTAATAGTAGCTCCATTGTGCTTGTACTCTTTCGGAATTTGAATTCCGTATGCAAGACACTCGTAATATCAGTCTCTTCAGGTTACTTTACCGCCCTCACTCCAGCTTCACTCGCAGTGAGTACTTTTGGAACTACTCGTGAGTAGGCAAAGGTTGATGTCGCACGAAGTTCTACTCGACCACGAACAGCGAAGCAGTTGGTCGAACTTTTACCTTACTGACACTTGGCAGCACTGTGTACGCCTGGTCGGCTGCAAACAGTATATTTGTTCGTGTAACAATGTATACTGGCCGCATCTTCGTGAAAACAATCGTAATTCTGTTACTGGTCAGATTAGCAAGAGTATCAGTCGCTAAGTCCATTCACTGATCACTGATGACGTCGTAAGCGTCCACATATTTATCTGAAATTAGCCTAGTTAGTTGCATGAATACTAACCGCCAACTTCAAAGCTTGAAGTGGCAGAACAGATAACCGGGAAACTCTTCAGCTATTATAGGTTGGCGGTCATTTGGAAGGCTTAGACAATCCATTGGTCCACATCATTGAGGCCGAGATCGCTCAGCAGTTAGAGATCTGCTTAGGCATCCTGGCAGTATCTCAGCCCCCAGCTCCCTTCGGGTGGCATGGCAGCTAGGCACCGAGATGTTACAGCTGAGTGAGTCGATTCGCACCATTAAGCAGGTATCTCGTTGTGCGTGATAATCATGCGCTCGATTATTTCAAGTACAAACGTTATCTGTATCCTCCTAAAAACAACGTGGTGTAGTCGCTAACCAGAGGTGGTGTATTCGCTAATCGTCGTAGCGATTCCGCCATAGGGACTGTTGGGGATGAAAATACTGTTGGTTCCTTGCTTTACACCGAGTTCCATAAAACGTCTTTGATCTGATGGTTTCCACTCAACTTGGTGCTTTTTCGAAGAGTAGACCAGCCTCCCATGACCTATTTAGGAGATGCTTCTCTCGAAGTGGCCACTAGCGCATCTAGCGTAGAACTTCGTTGTGGATGTGGGTTTTATTCACTAACAAAAGTCCATATTGTAATGAACAATGTATTACGGCTCTGATAGTGCTACCCAACTTGCAGATCCCCAGGGTTATAAGAAAAGTGCATACATAATGTATCCAAATCTCTTTTCCCTCCAGTTTCCAACTAACTCCAACCTGTCATCATGATTTATCTTTTCAGCATGCAATCTTTATCCTTTTGTACGCTGTATCCTCGTTGATCTCCTCAACACCAATGTCTGTGTTGATCCAAATTGCCAAGTTGGAACATCGGAGACGCGAAGCACTACGAGTAAGTCACTGGATCATCCTCACGATCCGTATGCGACATTTTTAGTGCTCACTGGTGAGATTCCACATTAACTGTTTCCCTTTTTGTACCGTCTACTAGTAGTTTGTGGGGTCCTTTTCTAGATATTTCCCAACTTCTCAGCTACTGCCCCGCCCTATTTCGTTATGTTCACGGGGTTTGGGCAGCTCCTAATTGTCAGCACTGTACTTGTTCCAAAATACAATATTAGAGCAGATAGATAGGTAGATTTTGTCACAAATACTGGAGCCGTAGAAATCGGTCCTCAGCCACGACGAATCTGTGCTTCGGTACTGTGTGAATCTATCCATCCTCCGATTCAGTCCGACGAAACGGCTCTACCGATCACCACAGGCAATGATCGTCGGTCGGAAACGAGGTTAGATGTCGATCCATTTTTGATACCAGCAATGTGCCATGAGGCATTGGGCTATAGTGTCGACGTGCGCTGTATGAAGTTGTCCGTGTTGCCTGCTACACCAACCGTGACATAAGCCAAAGTTTCACTGGCAGAGTACCTGTCAGCCCCCTGTAATTAAAGTCACTGAATGATCGAGGATGGTTTCGTGATGTGTAATCTTTCCCAAATATCTCTGTTAGTAAGCCTGTCTCACCAAGATATGGTACATTTCTGATGTACTCGTGGTGAAAAAAACGTCAACATGCTATTTTTCCAATCTGCAATTTGGAATAGTCCATGTGCTCATTTCATCGGTTTCAATCCTAGCTGTCGCAGCATACTGGTCAACCCGGTCCAATGAATGTTGGATGCCGTTGAAACCATTACCCACAACCACAATACCACCAATGTATCTCAGCTCGAAGGTGCAAGAAGTTTGATGGAGTTGGGCATCGTGGTATCAGTCCAGAGATTCCGGCATTGATAGCGATGTGAGGAGATTTTGTCATTTTCAGTATAGATTTCGTCAGTGGTGTGATTAGCTCTTACTCGTTGTCATTATTACCTAGTCAACTGCCAAATCGAGGGTAATTTCGGTAACGCGCCAGCGGCCGTAGCCCCGACCCTTCGTTACGGACAGGTATCGAGGTCTTCAAATATTTGGTAGCGCTTCGTCCGACAGCATGATTCCTTTCATTTTATATCGCATCACGTAAGTGAAAGAAATTATCCCTGGGGTGTTGATGTTTGGTGTGATGCTCGGTGACCCGGCAAAAAGTGAACAGTCAGCCGCCCGATCCGGACGCACGTGTGCACCGCCGAACTTAGTGAAACGTTTCGGTTTGAGAATTGCGGTTACTTGTTCTTACCAACCTTGTTTAGCAATAACAACAAGTTGGAGATGTGGCACTCTTCCGCATGCCTCTCGTTCCTTTGAAACAACACGTCTAGGGCTCGATGCCTCCACATCTTGACTGTCAGATCACCAGGGTACAGAACTATTCATTAACTCCTTTCGAACAACCTCCTGATCGGTGTCAGGAATCTCTGAGATACATGCTGCAAACGGCCGGAAAACCCTCTGGATACGCTTACTACTGCCATAGAAACTTTAGAACATTTAATACGATACCAGACTTGCGATGCAGGCCCCCAGAGTACTGTGGATGTCTGCATCTATAAGTATGCAACGAAGACACCGGCGATCGAGTACCTGGAGCTTTCATCTCGCTGTGGTGGGCTTCATTTATGTTAGTACCGGTCGAACTAACATCGTGCACACACGAAGCCTCTGATGAGGTAGACTTGTGCATTTTCAGAGGACACTTCTCCCCCGTATGATGCTGTTCTAGCTGTAGTTCAACAGTTGTTGTGTTTTGCAAACAGTAACGCAACTCCTGTGTCAATCTTTGGTTTGCTGTGTACCAGCAGGCAGGGTTACCTGAGCACCGCGCTGTTGGCTTCAAAGATACTTTCAACACGAAATCACGGTGTATGCATAGCCTCCCCTACCGAAGGACTCTCCCTCTGCTAAGATTGTGTGTGCAAACCGCTTCAAAAGAGAACTCTTCGTCCTTCGACAGTACGAAGAATATTTGTTCGTTTTTTCGAAGTCACAACAGAGAGGGCATTGTGGTTGCTTTCGCCAGACGAGTTCTCGACCACCATTATCTGTGCTCCCTTCGAATTCCAGGGCAGTGTACACGATGGAGCGGCAGATCTTACAAGATAGGAAGACGACTCTTTTTCGAAAACGATGACTACCCAATCGGTTTCAAGTATTTTTTTCACGTGAGGAAGACGACTCATTCAGATAATCGGAACAATTAGGACGGTTTTCGGTAATCTGAAAACTAAATAAGGCCTGGAGCCCTACCGTTGTAAACAAACTGACACATCTTAATCCACATTTGCGCCGTCTTCGAATAATCAGTGGGCACGACGTTCAAACTGAACTGTAGAATTGTTGTTATCGTATCAACGGGGTATTTTGAATCATGAACATGTTACCTCATTGAAGTGTTTTCACCTGCCGGCGAGCTCGGACAAATATGCTTTGAGCGCTATTTTACAACCTGTACCGGAAGCCACCATTTAGATGAAGTGGTTTTATTACATTCATCTTGTTCAAACGGATACACTTTGAATGCCTCCCGTCCTAGAATAGTCGCCATACTTAGTTGCCTGACTTGTCTTATGGATAAGGCTCTAAGCAGGAATTCAAGCTTCAAAAACTGTGAGGTTATTTTCTATCTCGAACAGTATCTCCAACTGATGTGTTTTCGGGAAGTCTGCATAAAACTCCTCATAAATCTTATTGTATGGGTTTCATAAATTCAACGGGACAACGGAACACATGAGTTCAGAGTGGATGGGGCACAATCACCCCATTGGAAACCAACCACCAATGCATATCATTCCAATTATACATGTTGCTTCCATCATTTCTATTTCATTTCCAACTCAATCTGAATCTCATTGGTTTTCTCACAGACTCTTGAGCGTGAAGCGATGCGCCAGTGTCAACAACGTCGCTCCTCCTCTCGATCCAACCACAGTGAATCCAAGTCGGTCGATACCTTGTCAGATAACCCTAATAATTCTGAGTTATCTTCATATCAGTTTTAACTTATTGAAAACACTCAATGACATCATCGTGTATTATGTATACGTATAACATTTTTCCTAATTTAACCGAATTCCGCATAAGATCATATTATTGCCTTCCTTTTCTTCCCTGCTTACCACCTTTTATGTTTCATACTTCAGTCATTTATCCAGTTGTGCAGCTGTTTTTTTTTGTTTTGTTTATCTGCTCAGATGTTATATTTTCATTCAATTGGCTATTTCCAAACATGATCCGGGTTGTAGTTCGTATTCTCATTCCGTACTAAGCTGTGGGTTTGTCTCACTAGCGGTGGGTCGAGCTAGAACTTTTTCTCATAAACACTACAGCGGCATGATTGCATTATCGTTCCCTAACAAAGAACCAAGGTTTCTGACCATCGGCAGTTGGGTCCCTGTTGTTGTTAAATTATGAGGACTAATTTTTTACCTCTTTGCTTCCAGACTGGTCATTTTGTGCGGAGCTTAGATTTCAGAGCACAACTGTGACTTTGCAATTCATGTATATACTCGCCGCTGTCCAAGACACCAAGATGGCTTAGTGGTTAAGGCGCAAACTTACTGACCGAAAGGTCCAACCTTTGTCTGGGCTTGTGCACCCTGGGATATCTCACACCTCCAGCTTCCTCCGAGTGGCACAACCCAGAGTTGCAACTGAATGAAGGCACAATTCATACCTTTCTAAAGTGGTGAATGGAAGACGTGACAGCGACTGATTGAAAATATATCCATGACAGGACTAATTGGATGTGAAACTGCCGGACCATAATTGCAGTTGAAGTGAACGAGCTCGAGCTGTTAGTAACAAGGATGATCAAAATAATAACTAATCAATGAATAAATCGTTGTCTTTCGGTGTCTATCTGTTATGCCGTCCGAGGAAGCACGAAGTTGAAGTGAACGAGCTCGAGCTGTTAGTAACAAGGATGATCAAAATAATAACTAATCAATGAATAAATCGTTGTCTTTCGGTGTCTATCTGTTATGCCGTCCGAAGGAAGCACGAGGGCTGGAATACTCCCGGGTCGCTCAAGCCTAGACAGAGGAAATCGAGAGGCAGAGGTCGGGTTCGAACCACGTACCTTCCGGTCGGTACATTCGCACTCTAACCGCTGAGCTACTTCGCCCCTCACATCTACAAATAACACTGGGTGCCCAGTGAATTGCGTTTATTCAACCACGATGTATGATGAGACCCACAAGAGGCCGGAAAATACACAACGTTTCTGCTCACCACGAGCTGGCGGAATGACCAAGCTCACATTTGGAGCCAAATACCTTTTTATGGCAGGCTCCTGGAGGCCACAGTAACAACTTGTACACAGATGGAACCCACCAGTTTCCTTGAATGAAGACGCAAAGTTTCCCTGGCAGCGTCCAGCCATACAGGGCGCACAATAGTAACTGAAAAACGACGAGCCTATCAGACTTCCTGCGTATATTGTCGGTTTTAATCGTCCATTCCGCATTGGATTTCTCATAACCAACCAGAGTAACCAAACACCATGCTTGAATCTGCCGTGTCTTTCCACTGACGGAATACATCGGCTGGGTTGAATGTGCAGGTAGTGTTAAGGGCGATCAGACTGCAAACCATAGTCGACCCAATAGACAGATCCCACCCTACATAGATGTATTCACTTTAGTAATTAAGGGTTGCGCACTTTTTCTAAGATTTGAGGTACCGAATACCTTGCCTTCCCGCCCATGGCGAGGTGTGTTTGATTTAATCGGGCAGGTATTGTAGCTCATTGTCCAGAAACAAGATGTAAAATAAAGCAAAAGCAAAGATTACGTACTTGTTTCAAATTCTTAGAACTGGAATATGAAAAGCTTGCATTTTGTGGAAAAACACATCCGTGCCGTCTATCGTAGAAAGCAGGACTGGGGTTCTAGTCGCCAAACCGAGGGTTTCAAAATAGCTGGGTGGCAGAGATGGACAAACTTGATCAGGAAAAGTTATGGCAACTAAAAAGTCGGGAGCTGGTGGAAATTTTTTGGAGAAATCAATCCTTCTGGCTTTCTCGTCAGAACAATTGCCGTAACCATCGAACAAAAGGCAAGGAAGTTGGGGAATAGGTGTGCCGTTCTTTCCAGGTTTGACAACAGACTGTAGAGTCGACATCAATTCACATAGAGTGGACACGGAAGAACGTGGGATTAGGTGTTTAATATCTCCGCTGCTGGCAACGAAGCGATGCTTACGGTTTTGTACTTCCCGCGGTACCTCAGTAAAGCCAGTGGCAATGGGACCAACGTGCGACAGGGAAATAGAAGTCGGTACGTCATCCACCCAATCCGAACATCTTGGTATGTAGCACCTGGAAACATTGTTACCTAGATCGCGTATCCGAAGGACGAACCCGTATCGCATCAGTCGCCTAAAAACCAAGCAACGCTCATACGCATCCCCACGTAACAATTGGGTGTAGACCTGTTGAACACTCAGTGGCATTCCACGGTCCCATATCTGGAGTCGGTTACTTTGAACAAGAAATACTGACTCTTCTGGATGTAAGTAAGCCGTACCGCCGACAGAGGTTCCAAGATAACGAAAATATTTTCCACGCACTTTGGTGAGTTTCACAAGTTTTCCAACAACGACACCATGCGACACTCGAGCTGGAGTACTTACATGTTCTTGAGCGAGCGAAGCAAAGTACTTGAAATAACTGGCCTTAACATCCACCATCTGCTCGTCGAAGCGAGCCGGAGGCCTGCGCTTCCGTGCAGGTTCGTACTTACAAAGACGCACCGGCTCGGCATGCTGTGATAACGTCCTGCCAACGAGAAATTTGTCCTGCAAAAGAACCGTCGGAGATAAGCCTCAAGCACAGCACATACCATTGTGGTCTAAAATAAAACAGGATACGGCTGAACCTACAACAAAAACAAAAAACAATCAACATTTATCTGAGCACACAGTTGGATAAATGGTGAAAGCTGCAGTCTCCTCATAATCTAGTTGGGTGCTGCACTGACGATCATTACTTGGGTGATGTTCCCAAGAAGAGAGTTTTAGGTACATTTAGTGAAAGGGTTTTATTTGCAATGATCCCGCCACTGACACATCCCAAAGTTCCACTCCGCCCTCTGACAACGCGATATCCTATCCATTGACGATGAGACGTTTGCAGTCAGACTGACCAGCTCAGCGAAAAAACAATGACCATTTACTCTACTTGAGCTACCGACACTTACATCAATACAGCCATTCTTCAGCATTGTTGCATCAGGCCTATTCCCGTACTCAATAAATTATGGGATTCGTGATATGGGATTGCCAATAACCAAAAAGTTAGATGAGGATCGAACGTTGAACCTCATATTCATCTCTGATATTGACCATCAAGCTATCTTGAACGCAGTTCAGTTGAAATCACTGGTGTGACTGCACGGAGCATGCGTCAGAAATCACGCACTTACGAGGATGTTTATCCTCGCGGAGCATATACGTTGGGCCATACTTCGTAACACTTATGTCTCCGTCTGGGGTAGATACCAACTAAAAGGATAAAAAACGCATTGAAGACTTGTCCCACAAATTTACTTAAAATGCAACTGACTACTCTCAAACACAGAAAAAGCATCTTTGTCATCAGCTAATTTGTTGAGGGAATTCGACGAACGTTGCCCCCGACCCTTGTTAAACAAGGCGAGACATTCAAGAGCAAAAACAAATCAAACGTATGCAACGCCTCTAACGCTGGCGTCAGGTCATCTGGTTGTGATTTCTATGAGAGATTGCCACTAACTCCCTACTTCTGTGTAATGGTCTAGTTTCTTGCTGAACTCTACGTAATCTGCCAACTCATTGTTCATGTAAAACCAATGAGAGAGAGCTCAGAAATATTCCGAAATCCTTCCATAATTCAAGGCCGTTTTTAACGCTGACTACTGGTAGTTCTTTGATGTCGTTTTCTGGTGAGGCTATAATGACAACCAGGTTGAAGTTGAATTTCTTAGAGAAATTACACACAAAGCATGCTAAAGGGTTCATATCATACGGTTTACTTCGGGTGAAATGTAGCTCTCTCTAACAAGATTACATTGATTACACAGTTGTGTTTCTATGCAATGTCAGTCCTACGATCAGGACGGTCGCTGTCGATGTCAAAACTAATAGATAATCGTCCAGCTATAACACCTAGGTGCTCAGTTGCCATGAGGACGGAAGGAGGTACGAAGGCAGGGGTACTGCCAGATTTCCCAATTCTAGACAGGAGCAGGCGAGATGTTGAGGTTGGGTTCGACCCACGAACCTTCCGCTTATGCCTTGACCATTGACCTATCTCGAACCATCTCGATGCAACTAAAATGTTTTCGACCACATAGCATTGGTGGCGGTGGTGAAGATAGTATAAGACGACTGGTATTCGGTACTGTCATTCACGCACCTGGTGGCAGCATCAACGGAGGAATGAATGCTAGTCTAGAAACATCCATTTCGCTGCATCACCAATACGCCTGGTGATCCACTGAAAGATGATGACTAAGGCGGTGTACTGCGCATGCCGAATCAAAGTTTGCCGATGAGAGCGCTGCTTACCGTGACCAATTCAGAGGGACGCAAGCCCAACCTGGCAGAAAAGTGCTAAAGGGAATGAGAATTTCGGGTGCTTCGGTGCGGCAATGAACCATTAGTGGCAACACTGATGTTGCCGTCTCTGATGTCTGTGAGTCATCTTCCAGGACGGGGGACGCGTGATCCCGTGGCTGATTGGAGACGCTGCGAGATATGGCTGCTAATCGATGTCAGTAGCACTCTTGCTGTGTTTCTATCAAAGTTGGCAGAATGAGTGTCTGGAGGTGTAAACAAATCTGAGTGGTTGTAGTGGACTAGCACTGACTCACTTTCCCATCCACCATTATTCTACTCGTCACAATAAGGTTATCAAATTAATTATGGTTGCGCAGCAGCGTAGTATCAGCGTTGGACACTGATGTCACGCTGCTGATGATGACAAGGCTCACATCGTGCACCCTTCGAATGGAAGTCAACCATTTCGAATACCAACCGCGACGTCGACTAAGTATGCGAGAGTGAGCACAATTCTGTAAGACACTTGCAGAATCAAACGTCCGCCTATGGCTGGTGTGAAATAGGACACACAACTTACAGTATGGCAGTTATGGCAGTGCACACTCACATTCACTGCTGGAAAGTCGGTGTATAGGGGAACTCCTTCACGGCTATCTAATTAGCCGGTATTTTGTGATAGATGTGAGGGGAACTGGCGAGTTCCAGGCCCGGTTACACTGAACATCAGCAATACCATCATTAACCGCGAAAAGTGACGCTCCCTATTACACGTCCGCAGGTAGAACCTTTGAAGCCCTTTGATGGAAAAAGGGGAGCGTGCACAAGGAAGAAACTCTAAACGTCCGCTCAGTAGCGTATGTGGCGCCAGGTCGTATCAAGATTGCCTGGCTGGGTGTTGAATGTGAAGGTGACAGATGAATGTACAAGGTTATCAGTCACTTCATGGATTTTGCTGAAGATTCCATTAAATTGGTTGACGTTGCTGGGCAGCAGTGGACCACCGGTGCAACTGCCAACGATCATTACCATGGGTTATCAGGGAAATTATAGTGCGAAGGCTGACCAGAGCACGTGGCGAAGACGTTGTAGTCGAAACAGTTCTGCGTTCGATTTCCAGGAGCGTTTGGGCCAAAACATTACTATGGGATGGTTGGAAGCCAACAGACGGGTTGTACGATTGAAAGAATTCGGAAGGAGTTAGATCCCAATGGAAACAGCGGGAGGACAACGGAAGTTGCGCCCGAAGAGTTTAACGGACTAACGGTCAGAAACAGCGTAGAAACGGGGCAACGGTTTAAACAGGGAGAAATGGTTAGGCGACTGACAGATGGGTTGACCACACAGCACCATTTGAGTGACACGGGATGTTGGGCCAGATGGTTATAGGGTGATGGGTGAGTTACCCACACTTTATAGCTTATGCTGGTTTGGACACGCACTTTGTATGTTAGAACACAGGCTGCCTAGATAAGCTCTTTTCGCCCAGCCATGTGCTACGTCGGTGACTGAGTTGGGCAGTCTATGGCCTGGCAATGGATTGCGAAAGCACTAACCGGTCTAATCAGTCGAGTTGATAAATGCTGTCTCGTTGTATAAAAATCCCGGGTTCATCAGAGGCTAAAACTAGTAGACATGGCTCAATTGCGCAGCCACTGGCGGCCATGTACGCCATGGTAACACCAGAGGACGGTGATTCACCAGGTGGGGTTCATGGCACTTTCCGAGGACAGAAAACGGGCAGAAGGCTCATGAAATAAAGCCCCGTGAGTAAGATCGCACATCACCAAAAACTACACTTAAACCAACCAAAACGGCAGACTGTGAAGTCATCGTCTTCAGTGCGTAGGCACCTAATTTCCCGACCAAGCTGAGCATGCTATCGCCTCAAGTGATTGGCTGCAGTTCCTCTGTCTTCCCATTTGTCAGTGGCCGACAATGTAGCGCTCGGAACCACCTACCGTTGGTGCATGGCTTACAGATGATTAACTCAACTGAACAGAAGTCAAAACGAGTCGTGTAAGTTTTTTCTGAAGGCAGTTAAACACATGGAGAAAGAATGGGGGTGTCCAACCTCGAAAGTAAATAGTGCTGCTCGCTAATACAGAGAATCGAAAATGTACGAGGATATGGGACGTTTCATGTGGTTTCGGACCTGAATTGAAGCAGAAGGTCCTGTGATCACAAGTCATTTTTAACATCATTTCCAGCCCCCAGAAGGGAAGCAATGATGTTTTATAACCATGACGGAAGTGAAGTATCAGATATGCGAAATTAGTCGTTAAGTTGTGAAAGTTGGGAACATGCACCTCAGAACAATGGTGTGTCGAGATAAGCTGTAGGTATGGCTTATTTGTATACCACATGCTGCTGCCGCCCAGTCCAGAAATGAGCCATTTTTGCTAAGTGATAAAGTTTGGGTCTTCAAAGCCCCTGATCATGTATTAGTTTGATCATTGCCAACCCACTTTCAGTTTGATTGGGGCTGTGCAACTAATGGTGTATCCGACAAGGAAATGCTAGAAGCATCTTGGTTGGTGGGAAGCATCCCACAGGTGTCGCTGCTCCATAATTCTCATAGGATTCCACGGGAATTTGTTCACCAGACCAAGACTTTCCTATCGCGTAGAACATTTCGGGTGAAAGTCAGCTCAAGCTGCTCGTCCTCTGCGCCAGTCCTCACTCAAGGTTCTGCTTTATGACTATTCCGCTTTCTGATTTGCAGTAAAGACCTCCTACATGTGATATCAAATCGAGGCCTACTTTGGGCGGGCAATATGAAGTCTTGAAATTCCAACGCCAGCCTACTCCAAATGACCTCAGCGCCGCGTCCCAACCCGATTGATGAGGGGCACATCCGTATATCATTAAAACAGAAAACATCCTTGACCTGCATGAGACAGAAGTCAATACGGGAATAGATACAAGAAAGTATTCAAATCCGATTCCCTTCTAACATGTCCTCATCCCATAATCAAGAAGAAGCTCAAATTGCATCTACCGGTCAATGGAAGATTCGGCGAACCTTCCCCGTTATTACTCGCACTGACCTCCAGAGACTCCATGCGGTCTACGTCGGACCATATCCCGAATGCACCAATAGAGTGGCCTTCTGTGATGTTTTGCTCCCATTATAGCTCCACGTATTCCCTCAGCTGCATAGTCGTTTTTTTGTTTGGATACGAAAAACCACAAAAATGCGCAGTTGTACAAATTCACGCAATACAAAAGTAATCACGTGCTCCGACTCCTCTTCTGATGAAAAACCACAAAAATGCGCAGTTGTACAAATTCACGCAATACAAAAGTAATCACGTGCTCCGACTCTCTCTTCTGATTTCGCACACGCTTGCAGCGTTCTTTCGCGAGTCTCATGTGCTAATTCTGGTGTCAAAACATTCCAGCCCATCTTCGGAACCTATTATATGTGGGACCCGTTCAGAAGAGGACCCCTGGACTACCATAGTTGGATTTTGCTTGCTCGCCGACCTGGGCAAACGGCGAACTATTTTAAAGAGAACAGTTATTAGTGAGTCTGTTCCATTTGACCTCTTTATTATTGTATACCCAATCTAGCGTTATTATTTTTACTTCTTTGCCACACACTCCACGTATAGTGACTCATTGAGTAGTCAGACCACTACACTGCTCGGGACGCAAAAGGCAACCATAATTGAGCGTGTCCGACGTGCAGCTGCGAAGATGATTTAGGAGTCCCAAATCTGTCGATTAGGAAGCACATCTCGAGGTACTTGAAATGCTTGTCTGAGTGTATCGATGCCTCCGAGAGTCATTACTACTCAGTTGTAGCTTGTTTGAACCGGCTTTTTACCGTTTAACATTGCTATAGCTCTGAGGAGACACGGTAAAGATTTTCAGCTAGGTGCATATTTTTATTAGACGATTTCTCATTTCGGGTGGTTGGAATAGCCTTCCGACGGCTGTTCAGGTTTCATCTGCAAGACTGATTTTGACCCCCCGGGCCCGCTAAACGGTACCGATTTCTTCAAGGGCAGTTTTACCCTCTTACTCTTATGCCTCTCAGGCAAACAGAAACTGTTTATTAACATGAACAAACCCAACCTGGGAATCTTGGAGGACGTCCCGATCCGCAAATAATTTGTAGAGTCCCAACTTATACACGTTTGATACGGTCCGTCGTCATTATGACTAAACGCGTCATGGCTTTGTCTGCTTGAGGCCCGCGTGTGACACGACCGTCCGGTCAACATGGTGTTCGGTCGCTTTGGTTGCCAGGATACGGAAAAAAGACCGCAGTGCGGGCGATCCCAGGGTGATAACGGTCAAAATTAAAACACGATTAGGTCAGACTCGACAGGAGATCTACCAATGACCAACATGCTTGCGTGGACTAATCAGGTACGCAGCGCTTAGAGGTGACGAGGTGAATAGAAGTGCATGGTATTTCGGTGTGGTCTATCAGTACAGGGTGAGGGAGCTTGAAAGCAAGGGAGCGGAATCAGTTATACGACAGCAGTAGCGCATGGTGTTAGTTTCCTGAGGCAGTCCCTTTGTTAAGAAACAACTTCCGATAGTATAATACAGGAAATTTCCAATCCAACAGTACGATGCACTTGAGGAGGTCTGATCAGACGACAGCGCATCGGGACTTGCGCATGCCCATGTCGCTACTTGGCCTACGATTCCTCCCCATGTCTTGGAGATTTTGCAAGCTGATCGGTGATCTGGCGGTGGTGCACCAGGATGCGTTGCCTTATTATTCCTGTCGCATGATGTGACGTGCACTTCATACCTGTAAAGTGTAAAGAGTGCCTTAAAGACCGAGTGGGATCACCAATAACACTACTCCAATGAGGCGGTGCAGGTCACCTCCAGAGTGCGGCCATGATAACAACAATAATAATAATATTTATTCCCAACTAATGGGAAAAATACCGTCAGACATGATCATAGTATTACCGTCAGATTAAGATCATGACTGATGGGGGTTGCTATTAGTGGGAATTTCCCGGAAAATGGGTGGTGACGTTAACAGTGGACATTAACGAAGTAGACTTCATCACGCCTGAGGTGGTATGGGTAGGGATCCAAAATTACAAGGGCTCTTTATCTCCTTTGAAGAACATATCGGATGACACAAGATTTGATTGCTAGGATCTAAAAGTGGCGGGCAAAAACAATACGAGTGAGGG